TTAATTAAAAATAAACAAATAAATTTTAGTGACTTGCAAGAAGTGGTAAGCCTGCAACAAATGTGTGTGAAGATGCATGGCTTTGTTCCTGGTGTATGCCGTAGGAAATATTTTCCAAGCATTCCATTATATGAGTATACCGAATTGGGTAGCCTGTGGTTACAATCAGGGCAAATGTCTCCCTGCTCACTTTCCAAGAGTACCAGAGACAACTGCAGAGGAACACAGAACACGGCAGCAAAACTGATGCTCTTCATCTCTGAACTATTTCAGAGAGGGGGTTAAATTATTTAATTCTACATGGATGGTGTCTTTTAGAGCCATTTCAGAGCAAAATGGATGCTTATAAGCATGAGTACCATAAAAGGTCCCACTTTTAATATGTATGGCCAAGTATTTGGGAAGTGATGATGCACTAACTGGGAAGCGTGAATGCTGCCATCTGACTCCTCTAACTACTTACAGCTAAGCAAGATTATTTGGATTTTAAATATTTATCAACAATGCAACTACATGAGCACACCCAAGTAATTAATGTGCTAGGGAAAAATGTGGTCTGAGTGTGGATGTTCTTATGATGGGAAAAAAGAGGCAAAACATAGTTAAAAAAAGGGAATTATTTCTTTAGCTTTAATCTTCATAATCATTATCAGGCTTAATGATGCTCTTTCTCCCAGTTAGAGACACAGCCAGCAGTAGCAGTTTCATGAATTGCCTTCTTTCATCTCTACATTTCATCCTGTGGGACTCATGACTCCATCCCACTCCATCCAGTGGGAGTTCTGAACATATGGAGAGATATCAAACCCCCAGACTGTTCTCTGTGCCCTTTCAAATCTTTTACAATCAATTTCAATTCTTTTGAATAAGTTTCTCTCTTGGCCTGTTGGGGCTTTCTTGCATTCAGTTTCTCTACCCAGTTGTGCCTCCTGATCTCTCCAGACTCCGTGAATCCCACGTTTTGGGGACACACTGTACCTAGTGAGGCCATGCTTTGCTGTCAGCCTGCCAATCTGCTGTACCTATAGAAAAATGGGGCCAAAGAGAAGGGGCCAGATGCCCAGGCCCTTGCTGGAAGGAGGGAGAAAGCACAACGGAGGCAGCACCCTTGGACACGGGGCTCCATGTCTGCCAACAAAAGGGATCCTGTCCTGTGTTTGCACCTCAAGTCCCCTCAGGATGGGCCCCCTTGGAAATCAGCACATGCAGCAGTGGGAATAACCCACATTACACAGGGCAGCTGTGCAGGTAAGGCAAGGACCCATCATGATTCTGGTGAAACAAAAGCATGGGTCTCATTTGCAATAAAAAATTCTTTTTAGGCTAAGATCATTCAAACATTTGTTATAACTTACTAAGCTCTGGGTACGCATTTGWTATTTTATTTTGCCTACCTAAATGGAAAGAAGCTAGGCCCAAGTCTTCACAAGTAGTTTGTCTCTACTTCCTCCTGAAATGAATGGCATCTGGTCCCCCAAACAACTATCAGAATCCAGCTGGACCACTGAAGTTATAATTTTAGTTGTATTCACTTACCTCTCAGTTAAAGCTACTGTCAACTTCAGTATGTTTTACTTCTAAATAAGGATTTAATCCAAATCATCTAAAAGCTTTGAGATTGCATCATTTTTGAACATATGTAGATGCAACAGAACAAATCCCATTTGACAAACAAAAAGATAAAAGATAAAATAAAAATTACAGTATTACAGCCTGGATAATAAGTATAGTCTTAGTTGCTTAAAATTCAGTGCCATAGTGACATATTCTTTTCCTGTTATAAGTGAAAACATCAATACTTCTGTGACAGAATGTGAAACTATGTAACAAAATTGTAAGAAAAGCATGTCTTTGGGTAATAAATCTGTCCCGAATCTGGCAGAAAAGTGGGTTTTTGGAACCCAGAGCAGCAACATGGGATTTACAGAGCCCTTTCAGTGCTCATTTACATTGCACTTGGTAGGGTAATGTTCCTTTCTGGAGACTGAAAATACTTGGCAGTCTTAATATGTTCAGCAGCTCACATGTGGGGAAAGAATACAAAAATTCTGTAAAATGGTTAAGGACACAGTTAACTGTTTGTAGTTGAATATTTGTTTTGTCATATGTACTGCAAGAACAAGGAGRAAAAAAAGTTTCCAGTTTCAAGTTTCTGACCATGAGTTAGGAGCTCTGGGTTCCACTCTGTATGTCTCTTTCCATGGGTTACTGTGAAACACCAGCTAAATCATGTAGGAACCAATGTAGCAAAACACGTAAACATGAACTTAGCTTTAAACTCAAAGTCATCCTGCTGAAATTGCACAAGTTATTGTGTACAGTGCTTTTTGGAGTAAAGATGAAGTTTGCAAATAGGCGGTAGCAGTGTTTCTTCTCTGACAAGTTTACTGCGAAAGMATACCAGGTGGTGTTTGTGCAGCATATGGCCATTTGTTCTGACAAGAATGGTTTAGAATTTGTATCTGGATATATTTTATACTTGGAAATTAATTAAGAAGGGTTTAAAACAAACCCCAAACACTTTCTTCCTCTGAAACAAAGTACAGGAGAACTAAGTACCTGATTATGATGCCCATTTCTTCCTGGCAGCAGAACAAACTAAAGCAGACATAAAGATTTGTCAAAAATAACTTTCTCCCTCATCATAAATTAATTCACTCTCCTTTGTTTATTCTATTCCAGGACTCAAAATCTGCATTTAGGTGGAGTATTTACATGTTGTCAGAGGAACCACCCAGGTCTCTCTGTCCCCATAAGCTCATTCAAAAAACTGACTGGTTCACATGCTAATCTCATTATAATCTCATTAATTACCATTGTCCAGTGTCCCTTTGCACTGAAAAAGCAGGTAAATTGATATATGTGAACATTATTCCAATGTTTGCATGTSTACATTGGCTTGCTAGGGAAAGCAGAGCGCATATTTGTTTCTTTGAGATGTTCCAGCAGCGGTCTTGGAAGGAAGATGCTTACCTCTTCCAAGGTGGCCTSGGAAAAGTGAGCAGTGAGCCTTTTCACAGCTGTGGAAAGAATACAATCAAATCTGTCTTCTCAAAGGTCATCATCCTCTGTATAAACTACCCAGCTTGGAACAATATGCTGAAATATACAATATCCATCCTTTATTCCGGTGACACTCATGGAGATGGAAAGAAGTTTTGTTGAATAGTAGCTAGTTAAAAGCTGTCACAATAAAATTTGTCTCTTTACTGTTATTTTATCGACTTTAAAATTTCTGTTGTAAAAAGGTTTTCCATATAAATGTACAAATAATTAATGAAACTATTTCTAAGATATCTTCTCGGTCTCTCCAACACTTTGCTGCATTGTCTTTTCCAGCTGTAATCCAAGAGCAGCTGCCTGATGAGAGTTACCCCTGTGCAGTTCAATGTCTTGTGGAAAACACACCATACAGCTACATATATAGATATAAAGACTAAGTCTTAATATAGCAAGGGGAATGAGTAAACCCAGTAGAATTTGAGGTTTTGTGAACATCATTAGCTATTTTTTTTTAAATTCTTGAGGTTTTGCAAAACTGAAAACCAAATGTCTTAGGAAGACAAAAACGCCCTCTCCGTCCTAGCTTGGCTCAGTCCCTTGGACCCTGTGAGAAAGGGGAAGGCTCCTTGGCTCCTGCTACCCTGCAAGGCCAAGGCCAGCCAAGTTGGAAGAAGCTTCCATGGCAAAAGGAAAGGGAGCAGTGCTTGCGTTGGCGTTTTCTGCTGTAGTGACAGATTGAGCCTTTTGAAGTCTTCTGAGTTCTGAAACATCAACACCTTTTTCTACTGGAATTTCAAATTGTGATGGGCAAAGTTAATGATTTCATAGGCTTTTTCTTTTATTCTTTTGGTTTTTTTTTTCTTTTTTTTTTTTTTTTTTTTTTTTTTTTTTTTTTTTTTTTTGTTGGTTGTTTTTTTGTTAATGTTTGTGAAGTTTGTCCACCTATACATTTAACAGGGCTACATTTCTTGGATTATGTGGGCAACTGAGTCAACTTCATGCCTCTTCACAACAGCTGCAGTATCCTTTCACAGATATTCTGCAACCCCAGTTCAGGACTCAGCAGCTGGAATAATGGTCTAGTTTGACATCTGAAATGTATCCACGTCACGGCAGATTCTGTGTGTAGACTGACCACAGGGATTCATTCTGCTGCGCCCTAGGGAGCATGTACTGGAAACTGCGCTGGCTGCTCCTCAGCACGTCGGCCTTTAAAATTCAAGGGTTGTCACTGATGTCCTTGCTTGTGAAGATAGTTTCCAGTCCTCCTAACGTGACCAAGGCCAGGCTAAGAGATAGGTTTCTGGTGTACTTCTTTCACGAGCCCCRAGGCAAGGCTCGCTCCATGAGGAGCACGCCTCGGAAAGCCCTGAACGCCTTCCACGGAGTGAAAGGGAATAGCGGCAGAAGAGGCAGACCGAGGCGCTGGGCTCACTTGAGGAGCTGCCGACTGACCTCCAGTGAGCACTGCCAACGAGCGGAGGATGTGACCGGGGCAAGCCTCGGCTTTGGACTGTTGTACAATTAAAAAAGGATAAAAAAAGAGAGAATCGAGCCCTCGAAAAGGCCGAGTTTTGCCGCGGTGGCGGTAAAGCATCGAGCTCTCAGACGGCCAAGAGCCCCCGGGGGAGCCGGGCCGGCCGGAGGGACCGAGAACGCCCTTCTCGCCCGCGGGACCGGGCTCGGGACGCACCGACGGCGGGATCCAGCGGCGCCCCTGCCCCGCTGCGGAGCCTGGCGCCGCCTCCCGGGGGCTCTGCCGCGCTCGGCCCCCGCCACACCGACGGCGGGCTCCCCTCCCCGCCCCTCCGCGCCTCTCAGCTCCCCCGGGGGCGGCCGCTGCTGCCCTGCCCGCCTCCCGCACCGCCCCTGCACCGCCCGCCGGGGGAGGGCCCGGGCCCGCGATTGCCCCGCAGGTAGGCGAGGTGGGGAGGGGGCGGCGGGGGGTTATGTCACCGCCGCGGAGGGGCGAGCCGGGGGCGCGCCCCGGCGCCGCTGATTGACAGCGGGGCCCGGCCCGCAGCCCATAAAGGCSTGGGCGCGGGGCCGCAGACTTGCGACGGCGTCGGTAGGAGAAGCGGCGTCTGCAGTGCCGCTTCGCGCTCCGCTCCCGAGCTAGCGCACCGTCGGCTCCCCGATGCCAGGTGAGGCGCAAGGCGGGGCGCTGCCGTGCCTGCCGCGCAGCCCCCCACGGGGGGAGGCGGGGCGGCTTTGCCCTCTCTCCCGCCGCCCAGGCAGAGCTCGCCGTGGGCAGCCGCCACGCTGCCAACCCTGCAGGGACTCGGCGTGCGAGGTGACGGGAGCAGCCGCGGGGCAGCAGCTCTGCCGTCGCCGCGCCCACCGTCCGGGCATGGTCGGTCCTGCCGGGAACCGCTTGGTGAGAGAGGGATCCGGTAGCTGGCTGTAGCGGTGGTAGCCAGGGGATGCCAGGTAATAAGAGTTCCCTGTAGGACAAAGAAAATGTMGACAGGAAATGCTGGCGGCATCCCTGAGTCCTTGAAAAAATGTGTGGAGTTGGCAGTGCTGGAGTTACTTGGCTGTACCCAGAGAACTGGATTTTTACACATACCGGGAAATGCTTCTGCTCCATTCATTGTGAGTTGAGACACATATGGAGATGCAATTAAGTGGTTTATAACTGCACAGTGCTACAGGGCAAAGCTGGCATCACGTTAAGAGTCACTTTATCCAACTATGGTTGGGTACAGAGGATTGTATATACATGGAAGAGAGAGGAGTTTGTATCAGATGAAAAATATTCTAAAAAATATCCCTATTACTCAGAACCATCATCTAGTTTAGATCTTGTTATCTAATCTACAGGGATTGGTGGCTTAATATTGTGCTCTAAAATAAAGATGTGCTAGCAATAAGCTGTATCTCCTATAGTGTCATATGGTCTCTATTCCAGCTGCTGAAATTTCATGGAGAAAATATTGATGTATATTTTCTGTACGTCTTTCCTTTTTTTTAATTGATACTTCAATAAAAAGGATCTTTAACATCTCTAATTTCTCTTCCCTTCACCTGATGTCACATTTTAATTCTTCCATCAAGAATAGACCCAGAATAAGTGTTACAAGAATCAGTCAAAATAAAAAAATCTGGTTTTATATGTATAGATGCCGTTTATGGCATTTCATGAGGAAAATTGTACTATTTGTAGTTGATAAGTAATATTTCCCTAACGCTTACTATTTGGCTTATTCATAGGAGTAATGCTGAAAAGGAGAGGGTTGTTGTGGCTTGCTGTCTTGATAACCCTGTGGGTTTCTTCAAATGCTCAGGGTAAGTTCTGACACTTCTTAACTGGATATGGAGAACTCCGGGAGTTAAAAGGTGGTGTAAAATGTTGGCTTATATGAAGTAGTGTGGGCAAAGTAATAAAAAAGGATTTTTTTAGAAATTCCTGAGGTATCTTTGGTAGATATACCTTGCCAGTATTAAATGAAGAATTCTCAGTATATCTCAAAATCACTTTTGTTAGATTGATTTAAATATATAGAATCCCCCAAATAACTGATATCATACTTTTCTGTGTGGTGAAAATGCATGGTGCAAATAACATAAAAAGAATCACTGATTTGGAGGAACATTTAAAAAAGATAGGGGCAGAGAAATAGACATCTACAGCCCAAATAAARGTAGAATGCAAGTTGGCACAATGCCAGATCCTCATTTACATCTGACTTTCTGGCTGCAGTCTTGTAAAAAGTAAATCTCTTTTATCCTGTCATGTAGACGCGTGGATTCTCATCATTTGATTTTCATTATCTGGTAATCAAAATATAGAAATTGCCTCAAATTCCTTATCCATTCATATATATTAAAATATTTAATGAATAAGTTGCTACATGCATCCATGTGTAGGCATATACATGGCATATTGTGTGTATATATGCAAGTATGTACTATATAGTGCTGTAGAATATGAGGCCATACATGTAAATATGTAATCAAAAGTATTTGTGCACATAGAAGGAGAGGATTGTCATGTAAATGAAAATGTCAGGTAGAAAAAATGGTTCACTTGCCTGCTAGTAGGAACAGTTCCATTTTCCTATGTGGAGATAGGAAAGTACTGGGTTTACTCTGCTGTCCTTAATGTCTGTGGTATAATTGCAGTTACTAATTATGGTGCGCAGAGTTGTTTTTTGTAAGACTTCTTGTAGACACATTGTCACACACTTAACTTTTTCAGATGGTGACAAGGAAGAAGAGACTACCTTTGATTTACTCCAAGTCAGTAACATAAACCGAAAGACAGTTGGAGCAAAGTTGTTCCGGGGCCAGGACCCCTCTATGCCAGCATATCGTTTCATTCGGTTTGACCATATACCGCCATGTAAACCGGAGAAATTAAAAAAGATCCTAAAACTAATACGGCAGAATGAGGGCTTTATCCTTTCATCCACCCTGAGACAGGACAGGCAATCTAGAGGCACTATCCTTGCTTTAGAGGGTCCTGGCAGCAGTGAGAGGCAGTTTGAGATAATTTCCAATGGCCGGGCCAACACCCTGGACCTCATCTACTGGGTGGATGGCTTCCAGAATGTGATTTCCCTGGAAGACGTGGACCTTGCTGACTCACAGTGGAAGAACATCACCGTGCAGATAACAGGGGAGAACTACAACCTCTATGTTGGCTGTGACCTTATTGACAGCTTCATCCTGGAGGAGCCTTTCTATGAGCAGCTGAGAACAGAGAACAGCAGGCTGTACGTGGCAAAAGGGTCCACTCGGGAGAATCATTTCAGGGTAGGTGGCCTGCAGAAGCTTGGATCTCTGGTGTGGTAAGAAGGTAACTGCAGCTAGTTTGAGAAGATGCAGTAGGTGCAGTTTTGTTCTCCCAAGGCCTCTTGGATTTGATGGGGTCACAGGCATTGCCAAGCAGACTTTCTTCAGAGTGTGTTTTTATTGATTGCTGGGTCTGTGTTGCGCGATTCTGGAGTTCCTGAAAGCAAAGGCCTGGCAAAGCAAAGTCTAAATCCAGGAAAGGCATGCAAAACCAATTTTTGGGCTTTCCAATGCTTTTCTTTTCCAGATGCAAGACTTTTAGAGATGTTGGATTTTTGTGGTGATTTGTACAATTCTTTACAAATTTCTTGAACTCTTTCTACATTGAAATATATCTATTCAAATCATGAGAAAATGTCAATATTTTTATTTTTTATTTGAAAGAAGAAGGAAAAAGAAAGAATTTTTAATGGGCTTGAAGCATGTGGTATTGGTCCATCCTGTAACAGAACATTCTGGGTTGCCATTTTGAATAATTCAATTTAAATTTTAAAAATAAGAAAATTTAAAAAATTTAAATAGAATAAAAAGTTTCAATCAGTCCTATAAATTAAATTATTTTTCTTTCTGTGGAAAACATTTGAGATGAAGCAATTTTAAGTTATCTGTTTTTCCTACGAAATGAAAATGACCTTCTGCCTCATATCATATAGTGACGTGATCTGGCCCAACTGCTTTAAGATTGGCTTCCATTCTCTCACAGCTGAAATCAAACTTGAACTCATGGCTCCAAAAATTTCCAGAAGCCCTTTCTTTCTCATCATTTTGTGCCAGTTTTCAAGCATAGGCTGACATGCTGGAGTTTGGTTCTATGGGGTGACCAGTTTTGGCAGGGGTGTCAGAAGTTCTGGCCCACAACCTTTCTGTTCCTGCCTGCATGAGTAAGTTACTCCATCAGTAGTGCTCATACAATTGGTTCTGAAGCTGTACTATTATGTGGCTCACTGAAACAATCTGGGTTTTAATTAATGTTTTCTTCTTTGAGGATTTTTCTTCCAAATGAAATAGATGCCAGTCTGGTTTTAGAGTGTTGCCTCAGGGTAGTGTCAGCACAATTGAGGAGCCAGTGAACTGTGGTGCATGTGAATAACTGGCTAAGGATGGAAGTGTTGTGGTGCAGGAGAGTTGGCTTTGACCTTATGACAAATATCTTGTAGAACTACAACCTAAGATTCACTATGAAAATGGAGATTTGAGCTCATAGCAGATCAACATCTCTTATTATGACATGTTTCAGAACATACCTAGCTTTGTGACTTATAGTACTGAGATTGTATATAGCAAAACTATAACCACTTCTTTTTTCCCTCTGTGTGTCAGGTTTAATACCTTGTAGAATGTTTTTTATATATTTGCTTATGTCTGAACCCAGTCAGTAGCATGGAGTTGAGAAAAATCAGTTATTAGTTACTAAAAAATTGATCTTACTGTTTTTAATTGCTTTTTAAAATTATTRTTACAGGGCCTTTTGCAAAATATTCAGTTAATCTTTGATACTTCAATAGAGGATGTTCTGCGTAAGAAAGGATGCCAGAAACGCCAGTCAAGTAAGGCTTTTGTTATCTTGTTGATACTGTTCTGTTGAATCTGAAAATTAGAAATGTCAGTGGTGACATATCCTAAAACCATGCAACAGGTCCCTTCTCAATGAMAAAGAGAATGAGTTGCTTTTTGGTGTTAATGGGGACTTAGATGTTTATATGTTTATATGATGGGATTTCTGCTCTCTAGCTTGTTATTTTAGTTGGGCTGCTTAGGTTTATAACTCTGAGCCTCTGTTTTGAAGTTGGGAAAAACCCTGTTGAGCAAGAAATCAGTAAGAATGGAATGAAAAAAATATATATAGATATGAAAACATATTTTCTTACATGAACTTTCTGTGATTCTTTGAGCATTAGACAGGTAATGTTGCTTCTGAGTTCTGCTGCTGACTGCCAATGGGCCCACAAACCCAGTGTCTTAAAGACACTGAATTCCTTGGCAATACCTCGTTGACTGGAAGAGGCTTTGGGTTTGAATCTCAAAATATTGTTGATCAAAATAACCTCAGGAAAATAAGAAATCAAAGGATGAGGTATGGAAGGCACGTATGTTATGAGCTGACATGTTCTTGGTAGTCCAGTTCTTGCTGACCCCACCAGGAAGGGGGAGCACTTTGTGTGGGAATGTAGTGGATTCCTCATGAGAGAATTAGGATTATTTGTCAAATATGTGCTAAGGTTTTGTAATCAAGCTCATGGGGGGTGCTTACTATTTTACTTCCCAGTGCTTGTAGCTGACAAGAGCTCAGTAAGAATCAGAGCCACCTGAATCTATCAGAGGAATATGGTGGGTGCACAAGGCAGCCAGGACTTCAGGGTTTTGTTTGAAACTCCTATCACCTAAAATGCCATTATTTCTGTTAATTTGCTAAAATATGTGGTGCAGAGAAAACCACAGTTTGGTTTCCTTAAGCCAATTGAACTAATTTTTTTCCTTGTTTATGCAAAACCCAGAAATTAAACCATAGCAGATCTTGACTTCTTCAGAAGGGGCCCTAATGTTTTGAAATATCTCCAAGTAGAAATGGGATGTTACTGTGCTTCTACTATGAATACGAAGCCAGTGGGAGCCTAAAGGAATAATTGAGTTCWTCATGCTGCTACATACTGTAGGAAGAATTGTTACACAGCTATAAGCTGCGGATAACCAACAGATAATATTTTCTTAATGTATTTTTATTACATCTGTTTACTGCCAAATTTCCAGTTCTATAAATTATACAGATTTGTGTTTTTTGTTTTATTCTTCTTGGGAAGTACTTAGCAAATAATTCAATTCACAGTATTTTTACTTTTACTTTGCAATACCAAGAGAACACTTCAAGATGGAAATTTCTTGTACAGTAACAGAAGAGAGCTAAGAGCACACTGAGGCCATCAAAATTACTTGAGAGGTTTGTTATGTACATGTTTGATTTTCTGACACTGCCTATCCAGCTTAATTACATACTCATGGAATGGGTCAGGTTGGAAAGGACCCCAGAGGGTCMTGGGTGTAACCTCCCTGCTCCAGCAGGGTGATCCTGGGGCACATGGCACAGGATGGTATCCAGATGGTTCTTGAATATCTCCCATGAAAGAGACTCCACAGCCTCTCTGGGCAATCTGTTCCAGTGCTGTCACCCACCCAGTAAAGTTCTTCCTCATATCCAGGTGGAACTTTCTGTGCATCAGTTCCTGCCTTTTCCTCTTGTCCTTTTGCTTGGCTCCACTGAGCAGACACTGGCTCCATCCTCTGAGCTCCCTCCATTCAGATATTTGTACATATTGATGAGAGCTCCTCTCAGTTGTTTCTTCTTGAGGCTGAACAGGCMCTGCACCCTCAGCCTTTCCTCTTAAGAGGGGTGTTCCAGTCCCTAAATTACTTTTTTAGTCCTTTTCTGGACCCACTCCAGGAGCTCCATGTCTCTCTTGTACTGAGGAGCCCAGAACTGGCAGATGTTACCAATGAAGTTCCCTCAGCCTTGAGGATACAAAAAGAGAGAACTGTGTTTTGTCAGTGTATCTCTAAATCTGAGAATGTGACATATGGTGAAATGGTGCCTTGGGAATGCTTTTTGCTTGAGGGTAGGAAAGTATGTGTTGATTGCAAGTCCTTTAGGCAGGGTTTGTACACTGCACTGGATCGGGAAGATGACAAAAACACAYCTAAAGAGGCACATCAATAAAATCCCTTCTTGAGCTGTATAAACAGAGTAGCATTTGCATATGTGAAAGGATGCACATTTTGCTCTTCTAGTTTCTCATTTTAAAGATAATCATGTGGTCCTTAGGAAATTAGCAGGAAGCCAGCAGCAGTGATCCCCAAGCATCTTCTTTCAGTCACTGCCAAGTACCAGTAGGAAGTGAGGATTTAGTTCTTATAACATAGTTTGGGTTTATGTTTCCTGCTGAGATTGCAGCTTTATTAATGTCCTCAGAATGTTCCGGTCAAGGCACACTCCATGTTGGCTTGAAAAATATGAAATTAATGATCTGAGAAGTCCTGTGGTGGGGGATCTGAGAAATCTAGTGTTTCAATGTGGTAGGAAAATTGCATTCTTTCCAGGGAACCAAAAAGCAGCTGAAATAAACTGTTATGACACACAGAGGTCTGATCTGCTATGTGGTTTTGTCTCATCCTGTAAATGAAGCTGGACAATTGCTTCAACTTTGAAAACTGCAAACCAGTTTTTGTATACCTTGGCTAGTGGCAGATGTTTCATAGCTAATTTAAAAGCACAGAAAGCCAATAATTTTAAATTTGGTTGAGAAGTAATCAATGTCATATTTTGGGTTGGTTCTGTGTTCTTGTATTTTTAGTCTTCCAAATGAATGAAGAATACTTTGCTCCCATTTTCATATCCTTTTATATTTAAATATAGCATTTTACATTGTGTGGTAGAGATCAAATCAAACCCTTAACATTTCTGAAGCTGAATTTCATTTCATATGTTCCTATGAGGATTTCTTCTTTTTAAATTGCTATATCTTCTGCTTGACTTTTCTCTTTGGTAAACTTGAGCTATTTCAATGTCACTGAATCTGGTAAATAAGTCTTTATTCAGAGATAGGACATGATGGATTTCTGTTTAGCTAATACTGAATTTGATTGATCATGAAGTCCTTAAAGAAAGCTTCCATGGAATCCATAAATAGCTGATAGAGATTTTAATGCTTAACAGAACATAGACTCTTATTTACTTATCTATGTGGTTTTTATATTAATTACAAATCATGCTTTCTGTTGTGTTATTTTTCAGGAAGGTAGGCAGGGATGTCTTTTAAAATTATATTAGGACATGTCCGGCTCTCCCTGACTAATGCTTGCAAAGTTATTGTTTTAATTACAATCTGCCTTTTAGGAGGAGTGTTTGAGTGACAAATCAAATAATCTGTCTGAGCTTAGCTTGACCTCCGTTTCACTTCAGAATGAAACGATTGTTACAGCAGTTCCTCTGAGCTTAACACGGGTTGGTGCAATATAGAGCAGCCCAAAGACAGCATAGTTGTTGCAAATGCATGATGGTCCAAATTTGATCCAAGTAGCCGTGCAATTTATGGACAGAACAAGGACAACAACTTTCTGCAAGGAAACTCTTTCTCCTGCCTATTTCTCTGCCTATAGAAAATGTGATAATCATGAAAAAAATTGAAATTTCATGCCTGGGTGGATAAAATGGGTTTGCATTTTTGATACTATGTCCTTTAGTTAGCCTTTTTCATAAATGGTTATGTTGCAGTGCTAACAGTTTTAAAGTGAGGGTCATGTGAGACACAGCTTGGATCTTAATTTTGAAAAGGGAAAGCCTATAATTGGAACCAGCTGACATCTAACCCCTTTTTTATTCATGGGTATAATAAGCACGAAGCTGTGCCAAAATAGATGTGTTTAAATCCTACCCATGGGTGCCAATCTGTGATTTCAGCAGGAATCTCTAATCTGTGGAAGAACTTTGTATATGCTGCTCTTCTCTTTCATTCTCTTGCTACCAGCTGAGGTGAACACCATCAACGAGAGCACTGAAATCCTTCACTTGAGCCCTGCTGTCACAACCGAGTACGTGGGTGAGAAACCGGAGAAGGCTGAGTTCTGTGACCGCTCCTGCGAAGAGCTGGGATCCATGTTCACAGAGCTCACTGGCCTGCGCATTGTGGTCAACAACTTGGCTGATAACCTCCAAAAAGTGGTAGGTACCTGTAAGTCTGGAGAACTGACAGAGATGTGCTGTGCAGTGCTCTTGTCCTTCTTTGTTTTGCACCAGGGGCTGTTAATAGAGATTTCTGTATTGTATATGAACATCTGTTAGCCTATCTACATAAGGTAAAGATGTCCTCTTTTCATTGTGACTAGTTTGGTAGTTCTTGAGTTTAATGCTTTAATCAAGACTTGGTTTTCACAGACCAGGTGTGAAAGAGCTGACATACCTGCGCTCATATACAGGGGAAATCAATCTTCCTAAAGGTTGGGAAATTGAAAGCTAGCGATCTCAACCTTGCCTGCATACTGTTAAAGCTTTGTTACCATATTAATACATTATTTATGAATACATCAATAATTGGATACATGAGTACCTAAGCTGTAAGTAAATGTATGGGATTTTCATAGTTGAAGTACGATGGTGATGTTTTGTTGAAGTCTGCCCCTCTTCTGTTCTGAATCAGCTAAATATTTCTGAAGGAATTTTATTACTATGCTGTATGTCTCAGGACTAAAATCTTCCCATCTAAAGATGTACTAGAGGAAAGCAAAATGRCTAAGAACAGATTTCCCTTAGTATTGTGTGACTGGTTTTGTGCCATTGCTAGAAGAACTGCTATGTACTACTGCAATACTTGAGATCATCTTCTTTATGTACATAAAGATGTACAAATATATATTTTAATGGAGGAATTAAGTCCAGTGGTGTCTCAGTTTTGTCTATTTAAAACAGTTTGCTTGTGAAATACACTATTTGTTTTCATTTACTTCATCTTCTAGTCTGAAGAGAACCAAATCATGTGGGAACTGATTGGTCCTAACAAAACATTGAAGAACCAGCCTGTTTGCTGGCAGGATGGCCGTGTCTTTGCAGATAATGAAAGCTGGATTGTAGATAGCTGTACCAAGTGCATTTGCCAGGTAAGATTTTGGAAACATTCTTCTTCTCTGCAGAAGTGGATAGTGGGTTTAATCCAGCTCAACTGTCCAATTCAGGTCATATTTACTTAGAGCTTGGCTGGACTTAATGAACTTTATAAAGAGTAGTCCCCATGTCCATGATAGAACAAATCAAAATATTTCCACACATGAAACTTCCCTGGATGTCCACCTTCATTTACTTCTGTCTGTGAGCATGAATCATTAATTGATTTCTTTACCTTTAGGATTCCAAAATTGCGTGCAATCAAATCACCTGCCCAGCAGTCTCCTGTGCTGATCCATCATTTGTTGAAGGTGAATGCTGTCCAATCTGCTCTCACTGTGAGTATTAGGCACGGAGGAATATATAGGCAGTCTTTGGCATTATTTAAAATCACTACTAGTGTTTTGGAAAGCTCAAAACAAGTAAGATGTCAAGGCCCATAAGATCAAATATAAAACTTGCATGTGTGCAAAGATCATGTGAAGAACTTGGGTTCTTGAAGTTACTCCCTGGAGGACTTACTCAGTGTTCAGTGATTATGTTGTTTGCTTAGAATTAAGTTGATGACCTGTCTACCTACCTTGGGCACAAAATGTTAAACACATTTTTCCCTAGCCCAGTCATGTTTCATGTTCTTTTGCCCACTCAGAGCATAGGGAATATTCTGAAAATGTGCTCTTGATCATGTTCACCATTATGTAGCTTTCAAAGGTGGGGTCACATTTCATCATACTGATCTATATTCTGAAGCCGAGGGCAGTTGGACTCAGTTTTTTGCTCAGTTCTAGAGACAGATGTTCTTCCTCCAAAGATCAGTGCTTCATGCAAACACATTGGACACAAGTTCAAGAAGATCCAGGATTCTTAGCTGAACTAACCTCTCATTGTATTGCACTGTAATTCCTGAACTTCCGTGGCAACTTGGGGATGCAAACATAGAAAAGGGGAGATCTAAATGTTAAAGTACATATTCTGCAGAAAAAGAGAAGTAAAAATCTTCGGAATAGGATAATAGAACAACTCTCAAAATGAAACACTTATCTTTTGCTCTGCAGCTGATGACACTGAGGAAGGCTGGTCACCGTGGTCAGACTGGACAAAGTGCTCAGTTACCTGTGGCTCTGGGACTCAGATGCGAGGAAGGTCGTGTGATGTCACCAGGAGTGCTTGTACAGGCCCACACATCCAGACGAGGATGTGCAGCTTTAAGAAATGTGACCATCGCAGTAAGTAATAAAATGTCTCATTTTCAAAAGCTTCTTTGGACATGTCAAAGCAAAACCAAGTTTAGTCAGGACAGTATGTACTTGAGAAATCCTATATGCATAACTACAGTAGCTGTCATTAGAGTCTTTGGCATTTTTTCCTTTCAAATATTCCTCCTTTTCCTGAAAATTTAATATGTGCATTCTGGGCTTAGCTATGTTAAAAAAATATCATGGGTGATCCTTTCTTTAGAATTATGAACTGGAGTCTATTATTTGAACTCAGTTTGGAGACAACAGTTAGCTCACAATCATGATATACGGGGCTGCGTTCACATGTGCTATTCATTGATTGTTGGGCCATCCCATTAACTTAGTTGTGTTTAGGAATGCAGTAATCATGGAAGACTTTTGTGAAATATCAAACAGCTTCTATATTTAAGGCACTTACAAAGATGGTATTCCAGAAGTGCAGTTCATACTATTGCAGGTACTTGTGATATCCAGTCTAATGTAGTACCTAGGCAATATCTAGCAGCTGAGACTGCTAGATGTCCAAATGTGCATTTTGAACAAGTGTTTGTTTCACTGTAAAAGTTTATTTAAGTAAAATATCTAACATCATTGTTAGTCATACATTGTTTGCTGAAATTCCTAAGAAAGCTGTTCTTAAGCTGGTGTGCTGGACTTTGAAAATGAAATGGTGGGAAAGAGGTGGGATATTGATCAGATGTGGTGAGAGGCTCATTAAAAAGCAAATTTCACAAATGAGTTTGTATTACTGCTGCAGGTGGGCTGTTTGTTTGAGTTTTGCTCTTTTCTCTGACAGTACGTCAAGATGGTGGCTGGAGTCACTGGTCTCCCTGGTCTTCCTGCTCAGTTACCTGTGGAGTAGGAAATATCACCCGCATCCGCCTCTGCAATTCCCCTATTCCCCAGATGGGTGGGAAAAACTGTGTGGGAAATGGGCGTGAAACAGAGAAGTGTGAGAAGGTTCCATGTCCGGGTATGTCTGTGGTCTGGAATCAAAGCATCAGAACAATATTCCAGCTGAATTCCTTCTCTTTATTCAGATCTAAATGACAGGGAATTTCTGCGATGGAAAATATAATTTTATCTTATGAGTGAAATAACACACAGTGGTGCTTTGAAAATGAAGACAATTCAATCAGAGGTTTTGTAAACCTTGCAAGTTATAATTTGGCTTTAAATATTTAGAGCTTGAGAAATTTCCATTTTAGTGATACATCTCTGCATATCAAAAATAAACATTTTCTTTCTAAAAGGAAGGTTGCACTCTCCTTGTTGGGAATAGACATAGAATCCCCCAGTAGTCTGATATCTTTGAAATTGTGCATGCATATTTTGCACATTCAACACAATTAATTACTATTATAATTCTTTCTTACTCATATATATTTTTAAACCTTTTTTGGAGACCTTTTGTTACACACACTTTCACTTTCCTTTCATGTAATTTGTCCTCCGTTTTTTCTCTTTGCATATCCGGTTGGCGTGGCATGCTGTTTTGAATTATTGGCCAAAAAATGCCTGTGAAGCAGTGGGGTGTTTTTAATTTGTTTGTTTCTGAAATATTGCTATCTCGTGCAAATGTCTGCCAACGTCTTTCTATGTACAGAGTGAGAAATTGTTTCTAGCCAGGGATCTGAAGAAAGGGATGTTGTCATTGGCACCAGATGTCCCCACTAAATTGCCTATGATGCTCTGCTCTTCTGTATATCTTAGTGAATGGGCAGTGGGGTCCGTGGTCTCCATGGTCTGCCTGCACTGTTACCTGTGGAGGAGGAATTTGGGAGAGATCTCGCCTCTGTAACAGTCCTGAGCCACAGTATGGAGGGAAGCCTTGTGTGGGAGACACCAAACAACATGATATGTGCAATAAAAAGCATTGCCCAATTGGTTAGTATTCATTCTTTATTCAGTTTGAGTAATTATTATTGCTGTTATCTCTTTAATGGGTTATTATGAAGGGACACTACAGGAATTTGCTGATTTTACCTTTGTTTCAGTAAAGGACACTTAACTATTTTGAGTGCTGTTTGGTGGGTTTTCATATATATTCTGGATACTCCTTGAACAAGTATGCCTTTCTTAAACAGGGATATACTATGCTGTAAGCTGTTCAACTGGATGTAGCACTCTGTAATCTTTTCATATTAAATCAATAGTAATCAGTCTTAAATGCACTTAATAGCTCTAACTTTAAGGGTTTTATAAGTGTTGCATCAAGTGAGGTTTAAGATAATGATCAGATAGTACCTGTTTTTTAAGAGAAGTTTTACATGCCTTTTATGCTCCTTACTTAATTTGCACTTCTGTGTGTCTACCAGATGGGTGTTTGTCAAATCCTTGCTTTCCTGGAGCAGAATGCAATAGTTACCCTGATGGGTCTTGGTCATGTGGGGCATGCCCAGCAGGATACCTTGGGAATGGTACTGTCTGCGAGGATCTTGATGAGGTATTGACTTCGTTTCCATCAACATCAGAAAATCACCATGAAAAAATCATTATATTTTAATTACAGAGCCATCTGATTGGTTTCTTCTTTCTTTCTTTACCTGCAGTGTACAGCTGTGTCAGATGTTTGCTTTAAAGTCAATCAGGTCCATCGTTGTGTGAACACAAATCCGGGTTTCCACTGCCTGCCATGTCCTCCACGCTATAAAGGAAGTCAGCCCTATGGAGCAGGGCTCGAAGTTGCCAAGACAGAGAAGCAAGTAAGTGATGTTGAAGGAGTTTGATGGATTTGAAATTGAGTAATTGTTTGAAAATATCTGTGAATGATGGCATATGATAAACTTGGATACCAAACARAAACAACCTGAAATATATAACTGGATTTTCAGAGTATTTTTTTGGATAACAGAGCACTGAATTTGGGATTAGCTTTTTTAAGGGTTTGGTTTTTYCTAGGCATCTGTGCAGATTTACCAAATGAGCCTAATGTTCCAGGAGCAAACATTTCCCTGCTTTGCATGCCTTTCTCTGAGGCTTATATACCTGTTTTGAAGAGTCAAAACTGAAGAATTAAGATTGTTTTTTCATAAATATAATGCAGTTAATGTCACTGTTATCAGACACATGTCCAGAGTTCTCACTCCCTAAATTCCATTGGGCCAAAACTTACCATTKATGAAAGACAGCAGGAAGTGGAAGTGAGGTTGAAGGATACAGTTTTCTAGACAAGACAAAATTGTTAAAGCAGAAATCATGGGATGCCTTCTCTTTGTTACTGTTGAATCAATCTCTGGTTAGCTCAGCTTCTGAATTCTATATGTGAAACATCTGCGTAAGATTCTCAAATACTACCAATGAAAAATATAGTGATAAGGAAGAGGTAACAAAAACCTTCATGAGGTCAACACAATAATTCCTTAGGGTCTCTGATTTAAGAAAATAGGATAGTCCTTTCATACTGTCAGGCAGAACACTAAAGAAAAGAGGTGAGTAAAATCTGCTTTCTGTCTGCAGTTAGTTTTGGGGGTTTAATGACATCTGGAAGAAGGCAGATACAATTCTGAACTTGTTAATCACTTTAACTGAGTTTTATATATTTGCTGGAGTTGTGAACTGACAGAGCATATGATTTACTAACCACAATTAAAACAAAGTTCCTGTCTTCAGACCTCTAAGTAACTGATCTGATTTTGACAAAGTTGAGCCATGCACAGCTGGCTGTGATTATCAGGTTTCAGTGAATATGCTCCATCATTTATAGGTCTGTGAGCCTGAGAATCCATGCAAGGACAAGACACACAGCTGCCATAAGTCTGCAGAGTGCATCTATCTAGGCCATTTCAGTGATCCAATGTACAAGTGTGAATGTAGGACAGGTTATGCTGGTGATGGACGCATCTGTGGTGAGGATTCGGATTTGGATGGCTGGCCTAATAATAACTTGGTCTGTGCTGCTAATGCAACATACCACTGTGTGAAGGTACGTGAAAAAGGTTGATAAAAGTGCCACGTGTTAACAAATTTTTCTCTTTTTCCTAAATAGTTGTAACACTTTTAATTAATTAAGCCGGTGGTTGCTTTCAGTAAGCTTTGGCTGTTACAACATGCTCGTTTTCTAGGAGATGCTGTGAAATGTGTATTCACATAATCTCGTAACATTCCGTAAGGGATTCTCAAGATTAAATCCAGAGTCCTCTGCTTTGGATTTCTTCCTGTGAAGAATTGAATGATTGGGATGCTTGTGAATGGAGTTAGCACACTGAGTAGGAGTTACCTGGAGCATGGGTGTGAAGCACACAGCTAGAGAGAACCAAACAAGGATCTTGGGGCCCAGGCAAGTGTGAAATCCTACCTGCAGGACTTGTAAAAGGACACTGACATATAAGGGCTACACCTCTAAATGCTTCCCTTGAACTACCCCTTCCTTATAAAGCATTCAGACTACATGCTATGAAAASTGGATTCAGAGCCTGAGATAACTTTTGGCAATAGGAGCTTAAGAAAGGAATGAATGTGAATTAGAGTTCTCCTTATTGCAAAAGCTCACCAGGACAACCTCTCTTACTCTTCAGAGATGTGAAGTCCCAGCTGTCCCCAGCCCAAGGGTGATCTGCCTGCAACCATTGGCTCTAGCCTAGCAACTGGGACTTCTCCAATCTTGCTGTGCTGTTGTAGTGAACAATGAAACATTACTACACCAGTGAGAAAATCAGCATCAGGGAGCGTAAAAATGGTGGCATGTAGGTTTAGTAGGATGTATCCACCATCATATATTCCCTGGGATCTATTTCTGTGCTTATCTGTGTGGTGAAGCACACAGTAAATCCTTCTTGGTTTCATGGCCTTGAGGTTCCTTCCAGAGGAGATTGCTCAAAAATGGTGAGCCTCCTTGTAGGTGCCATCTTGATGCAGTTATGTCGCTATAAGAAAACATGCGGAAAGTTGTTCCGTGTCCACCACTTGAACATTGGCCCAAATAGCTGAGGGGTAGTGGTACTTACCCCCTGACAGGCAATTCCCTGGATCCCATTTCTGAGTGGTGGCATTGCACAGGGGCATACACTGTTTGCAGCAGCAGATTAAGCAACTGGGATGGAGGAGTTCTGTCTGAGTGTAAGGCAAATGCAAGTATTCAGTTTTAAACACCTACCTATGGGACCCCTGACAACACCAGATTGCCTCTGTATATGTTCTCTAGTCAGATGCTCAAGTACTTTGCTGATCACTTGTGGCTGTAAAGGCAAACTTTCTCTTCTGAGGTTTTTGAAGGTTCCTTTTCCCAGACTTGAAACATTTTGGTTTCTCTTTCTCCGTGTTAGAGTGGGCTACCTATAAGCATTCATGAAGTTCTAGCATAAAGATTTCTGTTAAAAAATGAAGAAAGGAATAAAAAATGATCACTACAGTGGTTAAAAAAATACAGCCCAAGGGACTAGAAAAGTTTGAAATTAGGCTGTTTGAGAGAAATCACTTGTGTAATCCACTTGAAGCTGTGAATCTGGGCATTATCACTCTTACCAGCCAAGGAGTTTCAGATATGGATGGAATTTGGTCTTTCTCAGTGAGTGAAGTCTGTTCCTTGTGGGTTCAGCCAGTTCATCTGTTGCAGTTCATATATCCTTCTTTCAATTCCTGTCATCAGAATTTGCAATTTGTTCACTCATGATGTAACACAAAGGATTAGTTTTGATTAAACACAACATGCTGAAGGCATTCAGGAAAAAAAACCCTATTTCCAAAGATTATTTCATGTTTTGTGTAATACGCATTTATCTTAAAAGACACAAGTACTTCATTTAATGGGAACACTTCACCTGCCAAAAAAAAAACTCTGAAAAATGCCACAATTTTCCAGACCATTATATTCTTCACAAAATACCTTAGTTGAGTAGTTTGATTTTAAAAAGCTTCTTTTCTTGAGCTGATAATGATTGAAAATTAACTTCCTTCTGTGCTTAATTTCTATCATTGTTTAAAAAAGGTTTTTGTAACCAGTGTTGAGGTGGGCATTCTTCACAGGTATATGGTAAAAAACTTGGGTGTTTGATATTCATCATAAAATTTCCAGTCCTCTTTTTCTTAAATTGTTTGTACTGTTTAAACCACTGAGATTGAAAATAGGGTTCGGAATATTAGTGTAATATTCATTTTTTAGAACATGTGTTATAAAAAGGATATTTCTGCCTTGGGCGAGGTAGATCTGGAATGTGAGTAAAAATGAGAATAACAGAGTGTGTTTTCATAGATGTATTTATTCATAGCAAGTGGTAGAATTGCAATCCATTTTAGCTGATTTTAATATTGAAAAAAATGCATGTTAAAAGTTTCATAAGCTGTTTTACTTCTTTTCAGTGTAACTAAAAAAAAATTCTGATTTAAAGTAATCATTCTTTACAAAGCTGTGATACAAAATAAAGAGATCAGTTTATCTTTTATTCTTAAAGCGAAGGGAATATAAAGGTACTGTTTTGTAGAACAGTATAAAGATATTTTTTCAAAACCCTCTCTTACAGTGCTTTCTTTTATTGCTGCATAGCACTTTCCACTGCTGTGTAGTAACTTTCCATTTCTGAAGACCTTCTCGTGGCTGGTATCTTTAGTTTTCTGGMAAACAAACCTGGCCATTTTTTATTTAATCTTCAAACACATCTCATGATTTGTCTATAAAAAAGTTGATGTAAAAATGCAAACCTGTGCATGTGGTGTGTTTGTTCTCTGCTAGTTTCCTCTGAAATGTACTGGAAACATCACTTTAATGGGAGCTGGGAAATAGAATGAATTGCAGATGCATTTCACTTACTTTACAATATGAAAGCAGCAAATGAACTACAATCGTTGTCAGCAAACAGACACTTCAAAAAGTACTTTGCTGATTGCTCTTGTTTTATAGTCCCTGGTCTACTCTTCTGCCCAGGCCAGTTATTCTGACATAATGTAAACATAATGTATTGATTATTTCTTTTGGCCAGGATAACTGTCCCCTTCTGCCTAACTCTGGCCAAGAAGACTTTGATAAAGATGGCAAAGGAGATGCCTGTGATGAGGATGATGACAACGATGGTGTTGAAGATGACAAAGTAAGATGTGTATCTGTCTGCAGTACATTTGACCTAAACATTTGATTTTAAGGAAAACCATTACAATCAATGTGAACTTTATTGATCAGAGCTTCAGCTGAGTTATTCTGCACTTCTTTCCCTGAATGATGTTGAGTGCTTTACTTCCCTCAATGATGTAAAGGTGTGTTCAGTCAAAGGAGAATAGTACTGTCCAGGGGAGCCTGGGGATGAACTATGTTCTCTATCAGTTTTGAGTTCAGTTATGTACATGAAGACAGTTTAAAGGAAAGTGGTATTAGATTTCTTATATTGTAGTAAATAATAGATTAGTATTTTGATTTTTGAACTCTGTCCAAGATGAGCAGAAGTTACGACTTCATAGTATGCTCTCATGAGTTGGGATTTATATTGTGAAATCTTCTGTTTTCTCTTACTAGGACAATTGTCCTCTTCTGTTCAACCCTCGTCAGTTTGATTATGACAAGGATGAAGTTGGGGACCGCTGTGATAATTGCCCCTATGTGCACAACCCTGCTCAGATTGACACAGACAACAATGGGGAGGGTGACTCTTGTGCTGTGGACATCGATGGAGATGGTATGATTTCACTTTTGAGAGTTAGGTGCTGTTCCACAAGTGCACTTTGCTTTATGTCCAGTGAGATGGGCTACCTGTTTTCATACATGGAACAAAATTGTGTCTAGCAGCTCAAAAATGTAGGACAAGACAGAGAAGGCTGACATTCATCTGTCCTGTAGTAGAGTTGCCATACAGTCCCTAAATGACTACAGTTAATATTATTAAAGAATAAATCATAGCAAGACTTACCACTGTAATCTCAAAAAAAGAAATCTTTCCTTCATCTCTGTTCCAAAGTAATCAGGGTCTAATATGACACTTGCATTGACTTTTCCTTTTCTGTTTAGGGAGGGAAAAGAACATCAGAACATTCACACAGTTAAGACAATATCCGTAGTAATCTGCTTTTCTATGAATGTGATCCATCACAGTGATCCAAATACGCATTTTTTGTATGTCTTAAAATATTGTTAAAAATATTTATTTCGTCTACCAGCACATTCCTATATAACCCAAATTTGATCAGAATTAGGGAAGAGGAAAAACGCTTAAATATTGTTCATAAAGCATATCCTTACAGCATTTCAAAGGTGCGAGGATCCATAAATACGAAAAGTAGAAGAAATCTAGCTTTAGGTTTTCCTGAATAATGTTTTAAACTTTTGGATTCTTATCTGACTTCAGCTTCTGAACATTTTGAAGTGCTCTCATCCTTTTTCTTATCATCAGGTTCATATTAGTACTCATGGTAGTTCTGCATTTGAAGAAAAATCCAATCATGTGTTATTGGCTGAAAGATTATGCAAATACCCAGGGACTATTGATATACCTTTCCAATATAGGAAAGGATCCTTGTATTTTTCCCAGACAGATATGCCAACATGTGTTTGTTTCTTTTCATCTTACTGTAATTTTGAAGTAGATTGTTGGTTTTATAATAGTTTCCTGAGGAGGAACTGTTTCTTTTGAAAATTTGGCATGCTATACAATTAATGATGCACATATTCTGGTAACATTAAATTATTTAATGCTGATGCAGCTGAATATTGATAGAGTTGTTTTGATACAAAACTTCAGAAATTTGAACCTGATATAGCTGTGTGTTTTGTGCTGTTTCTTAGAGTGGGGGAAGAAAATCCAAAAGAAATTATTAAAAAAAAAATACCCCAGCCCTTTATCTGTAATTCTCTGAAGAAGGACTACATTCTTAAGGTATAATCAGCCCTTATTCTAGCAAACTCCTTAGAAAAATATATATATAAAACTTTATCACAGCAAGACAAATGGAATTGATACCATATTTTTTCTTTTTAATATTAGTCTTAACTATTTTTTTTAGCAATGGTGTTGTACCAATCAGGAAGCTTGTGAACCCCTTAAGATCCTTGCTTCTTTACTGGTGACTCCTACAGTCTCTGGCTGTCTGTGTTGGATGTTGGATGTTATATGTTTCGATTTTTTTCAATTTTTTTGTTGTTTTTTTCCCTCTAGACATTTTTAATGAAAGAGATAATTGTCCTTATATGTACAACACAGACCAGAGTGACACAGATGGTGATGGAGTTGGTGATCAGTGTGATAATTGTCCATTGATGCACAATCCAGACCAGGTAAATGAGGAAAACAGTTTCCTTAATGGTAGCATTAGAACAAGAGCAGAGAAAAGAACACAGGAATTGCTATCAGGAAGGCTGAAGAGGTGGATCTGTACTGCTCACTTTCACATCTCACATTGTGAGCTCTCTCTGTGTCAGATGTAAGGGATGTACAATGATGCTTCCTTTCATCCATCTGTAAATAAAGCCCTGCCCTGCAAATATCTCAGGGACCAGATCTTACCCATTAGAGAGCCAAGTAGCCATTTGTAACCAGTAACCAAGTTTGAGGTTATGCTTGTGCTTTAAGCATGGTTGTCACTGTGGTATAATTTGTCACTGTGGTATAATTTATACAGAAGCCCATCAAGAGAAGTGCTGAGCAATTAAGTACTAGGCTGTACTTTTGTATTGGGTAAAAATAATAATTCCTCTGTGCAACTTTTTTTTTTGGGATAGACTGATGCAGATAATGACCTTGTTGGTGACCAGTGTGACAATAATGAGGACATAGATGAAGATGGCCACCAGAACAACCAGGATAACTGCCCTTACATCCCCAACTCTAACCAGGCTGACCATGATCAGGATGGTAAAGGAGATGCTTGTGATCCTGATGATGACAATGATGGTGTCCCAGACGACAGGGACAACTGTCGCCTCAGATACAACCCTGAGCAGGAGGACTCAGATGGTAAGAGGAAGGTCACATGAATTTCATTTAATTCTTAGTATTTTGCACCATTAAATGTGGTGAAGAGAGACTTCACATCAAACTGAGCTGCTTTTGACATTTGAGATACCATGGAATTCGATGGAACTGGACTGGTCAGTTTGGTCTGGGTTTAGTGCATTAGGAAACATCTTTGACAGGAGCTCAAATATGCATGTGCTTAGTTATAGAAGAAATCCTTTACCAAATTTAAAAAAAAAAATCAGTTTTTTTCAATTAAATTTTCACATTTAATATTAAAAGTTTTGAAAAATATATCAAATGGCTTGAATTTCAAATGTCTTAAAAAATGAAAAGTGAGCCATTTCACTTTCAAAACAAGTTACCTTCTGAAAACTAAAATTGAAAAAAATATGGTTTATTGCTCTGTTTTATTTTGAGAAAACAGACTATTTCTCCAGGATTTTTTAAGTCTAAAAGTATTGTTAATTTGTAACTTTTTGAAAAAATATTACTCCTGAGCAGTGTTTCTGAAATTTTCTTTATAGGTTCTTTAAATATGTCTTGGTGATACACATGTCAGAGTTTAAAAAGTGGATCTATAATCGCTCTTTTTTCCAGGTTTTTTTGGTAATATGCTGCTGGTCACCTCAAACAGTCCTTTTCTATGCTTGGCATTATTTAAATAATAAAATAGTGGTAGTTTAACAGTTATAATTTTAATTTTGAAGATATTTGTGATTCTTTGAAAACCACCAAATGTATTTGCAAGTAATGACCTTTGCAATAGATCCACGTAAGCAATTTCTGTTTCAAGTTACTGGAGTCATTCTGTGGTTATACAGTAGAAATTGAAAGCAGAATTTAGTAACTACACAGTATGTTTTTGTGTACATTTAGAAGGATAAAATGCTGACCCTTGTCTGATTTCCTGGTAAGAGAGTGGCTGTCCTTAGGAAGTTCCTGATTGGAATTCAGTATTAGCTCTTAATTTATATAACCCTTCAGTCCTATAATATATGTCTGTACTGAAGATCTTTGTATTTGCCAGTCCCTGGAATAGCCCCTTAATTTCATAAATCCAGAAAAGGGGTGACTCCAAGCTGAGTTTGTTAAGTTGTCTGTTACCTGGATCTTGTAAGGGAAACCATATTTATGTATGGTCTAAAGATTCAGAAAAAACATACATTTAATCAGTTTAGCCTGCTCATCACTGTCATTAGCAGCAGGTCCAATAGAATTCTTGGAAAAGGGGTAAATTAAGCCAAAAATCGCAGCCATGCTCTTGAAGATGTGAACTGTAGCATATAAAGATGAGGCCCTGGAGAGAGCTGTTGGATGTGACTGGGTAAACAAGCACTTTCTAACTTTCCTTGACAGGGAATCAATGTTGTCAGCAGCAACTCACTACCAAATAAACATCAGCTGGACTTTTGGTGAATAATTATATTCTTCTGTGAATTATCTCTCTGATTTGGCAAAGAAAACAAAATAGGGAATTCATTCCCTTTTCTCCAATAAGAGCTAAGACAAACAGGTGGAGGAGCACACAGCTGGTCAGGACTTGGAGTTCTCTATGGCAGATATCCAGGGGGAAAAACAGGACCATTTTACCACGTATCTGAACTGCAGAGAGCCCTGACATACTATATGCTTCAGCTTTCTGAACTTACTCTTTTGTTCTTGGCTGTTGCCTAAAACTCATTCTGCTTTCTCTCCAAAAGCTCCATACTTAGGTAATGCTGTGTTGGTCAGCCATGGTAAAGTAGCTTTCTGTTTTTCTGTGAAACATCTAGTAGTAGGGTCTGTATTGAATGAGCTGGGTGATTGCTGTTCCCCACTGTGTTAATTCCCATGTTCTTAGGGCAGTCATAAACACTGGATGAAAAAGAAAAGCAAATTCTCTGCTGTGTGAGGATAGCAACAAATCAGCTGGCAGCACTGGTTTTACATTAGTACCCAGTGTAATATCCAATGGTTTCTGTTCTAAAATTTGGAGCCATTTGGGAATTAGTTTCTATACTTGTCTAGCCAGTCTTTTCTACATTATTTTCAGGTCTTTGTGCTCTTGTATGCCATGTAATAATAGAATCATTGTCAATAAGATTTTTTTATTGATGCCTCCTTTCACTTCTTGCTATTTGAGGCATGTCACATCTCCTGGTTTCCATTGATATTATGTGTAAACTAAGAAAGAAAATAATTTTTAGGTTTTTTTTTTAAGTATTGAGTAAAAGTGTTGAGCAGAAGCACAACTGTAGATGAGCTGTGTGGATATATGTTTTTTTTCTCTGCAAAGGTTCTTGTAATTTATGTAACAAAACTTAATTTTTCCATTCCTGTGAGGCTAGTCCTGTTGAATACAGTGCTGCCTTCTTTTCTCATGCATTTTTCTATAAGTCGATATAGAACATATGTTTTTTATAAGTCAAATTATTCTGTCTGCAAGTGAAAGAGTGGCTGCACATGTAAGCATWTTTTACTGCAAGACTCTCCCCCCTTTCTTTTGACATAGAGGTGACACATCTGCAATCTGAAGCATCATGGATTGTTGCAGAAAGCATCTTAAGACAGTGATAAGAATCTGAAAAAAYGTTTAACATGATCAAAAAATATATAAAGGTTTAGTAACATGTAGGAAGATTAAGACTTTAATGCTGTTGTTTGAAATTATTTGCATAGCACATATTAAAATGTGGTGTTGTATCCACATCTGGAATAAATCAAACTGAAAATGTAATGCAAGCTTCAGTGAATTACATTGACATAGAAAACTTCCAACCTTTCCCACCCTGATTCCAAAAGTGCTGTTTAGACTGGGGCTGGGTAAATTGCTGACGACTGCCTTTGCTCATTCACATTGCTTACAGGCGATGGCAGAGGTGATATTTGCAAAGATGACTTTGACAATGACAACGTTCCAGATATGTATGATGTGTGCCCTGAAAACAATGCCATCAGTGAAACTGATTTCAGAAAGTTTCAGATGGTCCCTCTGGACCCCAAGGGAACAGCTCAGATTGATCCCAACTGGGTTATTCGCCACCAAGGCAAGGAACTGGTGCAGACTGCCAACTCTGATCCTGGAATAGCTGTAGGTGAGTATCAGATGTCATCATCTTTGGAAAACTAGCCAGTGAGTCTGTGATAAGGAAAGGAAGAAAAGGGTAAGAAAATGCAGCTTTTTGGTGCTGCAGGTTTTGGACTAACCACAGAAACAGTGTATATGCCCAAAGTAAACACAGCTCAATGCTGCCTGCATTTGTTGTCCATTCATCTCATCACTGACTGTAATATATATAAAATACACAATTTAAAAAATTTGTGTAAGTACAGTGCCTGCTATATTCAATGCCCCTTGTGAGCACCTTACTTCTCTCCAGAAGTCTTCACACAGGCAAGTGTAATTACCTCCTCTTCTGGAGGTAAGGAAACTGAGAAAGACCATTTTGACTCCTGCCAAAATTCAGGATGTAGCTGAGATTCTTGGGTGTGTGCAAGTGGACACAGCACTGTAACTCGATGGTTTATCTCTTTTATCCTCTCCCAGGCTACGATGAGTTCAGCTCTGTTGACTTCAGCGGGACATTCTATGTTAACACAGACCGTGATGATGACTATGCTGGCTTTGTGTTTGGCTACCAGTCCAGTAGTCGGTTTTATGTTCTGATGTGGAAGCAGGTYACTCAGACCTATTGGGAGGACAAACCCACCAGGGCTTATGGCTATTCTGGTGTGTCACTCAAAGTGGTGAATTCAACAACTGGCACCGGGGAACACTTACGGAATGCCCTCTGGCACACGGGAAACACCCCTGGACAGGTGAGAGATTTAAAACTTCAGGCCAACAGTGTATGACAATATTTTAAAAATCAGGGATTTGTCTCAAAAAAAAAAATATTTTCACAGCTCAATTTTTACAAAGGTTTATCCGTTTTTCTTCCCCTATTAATAATGTCAGTAGTAACATTTGCATTTTAAACAAGGTCATGTGTATGAAAGGGAAGATGAGGTATGATCAAAAGGAAGAGGAATGAGGTCTCAGTCCTACACAAATTCTTTGTTACTTCTGTATTTGCACTTGCTTCTTTGGTGTTCCAGCTTGTTTGAATTATACATAGTTTAGAGCACAGTAACCAGTGACAGGAAACAAGAAAAGAAATTTTTAAAAAAGAGAGAAAAATTGCTGCTGTTAAGAATAGGGTCCAACCACAGAAGGAACTTGTGCATTTTCAGAATTAGGTTAGTAGGGCTTCATAGGACCATTGAGTGAGAATTTTCAAGGAGCAGCCACAGGCAGTAACATCTGTGTAAACGGTCCCTCTCCCTTATTGGAGGCATTTGTGTAGCATCAACTCTGTCAGTAAGGCATGTATATATGCATACCTGAAGAGTTCCAGAAGCTTTTGGACAATACTCTTGGGCACATGATGTGACTCCTGGGGATAGCCCTTTGCATGGCCAGGAGCTGGACTTGATGGTCATTGTGGGTCCCTTCCAATTTGGCTGATTCTGTGACTTATAAGGGAAGTCAAAGTTCGATGCTGTAATGGTTTCAGTGACTTTTGCTACGAAACTGCAGATGAATAACTGATTAAAAATTAAAGACAGAAATTTCCATTACTTGCCGCCMATGAAAGAAGTATTTTGCTCATACAGTCAAATGGTAACCTATTTTCAGTTTCATGCTCTGCAGAAAATTAGCTTTGGCTGTATGTACGGTTACTATGGCAGACGTAGAGTTACCGGAGCATAGTGTGTTTCTAACAAGGTATTTGTATTCCTACTGTAGGTGCGGACTTTGTGGCATGATCCCAAGAACATTGGCTGGAAAGATTATACTGCTTACAGGTGGCATTTGATTCACAGACCTAAAACAGGATTAATAAAGTAAGAAATATTTCTGTACCTCTATATTTTCTAGTAACAAAATTTTTGTCTCTGTTGATTTAAAAGCTATGTTACCAGTTTCATTATTGGTTCTSATAATTATGTTACTTGTGTGACAGTTTGTCGAATATTTTGGGAACATTTTGTTATCTTCAGAATAAGTTATTTTTCTTTTCAGATGTATTTAATTTAGTCCGGATATTTCAATATTTACATGAGCTAAATACTCTTAAAGAAAAAAAAGTAGAATTCTTTCTCAATAGCTTTTCTGTAAAGAGACCAGAAATTTCTGAGCAAAACTCAAAGCAAGATTAGAACATGAGATTGCTCCCCAGCTTGTGGAATTTCAGTGAATGAAATTAATTAGAAACATGAACATTGCCTTGGGAAGGGCCTGTCTGCATCAGCATCCTATCTCCTGTAGTGGCTTACACAAGACACTGCAGCAGTGGCCATGAGCACATCTGTAATGCACACAAGGAGCTGTGGCATATGACTTTCTGTAGAGCCCAGCTGTTTAGCTAATGTTGCAAAGACTGAGTATTAACTGCCTGTGTTGGTTTTATCTTCTACTAACTACTGGAACTGTAAAGGATATTTTTTTATGCTTATGTATAGGGGATTTTCATTTTTCTATGAAAGACAAAGTGTAGACAAATCTGGATTGACTCAAGTTACCTGTTTCTTGGAAAGAGAGGAGTTGTTTTATCCATCAGTGTGTTGCAGTGCGGTGCAAAGCATTGACTGATATAGATCAAAAGAAAACTTGTTTTTTTCATTCATGTTGCTTTTGCCTGTAACTTCCTTTGCTGAATGTACATAGTGTCAGACAAAGGATGTTTCCACTGGTATCACATTAGTTTAATCTTGCAGGACAAATTCTGTGGTTTGGGGCATTAAATTCTTTCATACTTTAGGGTGCTCTGATAGAAAATAAATCAATTATTTTGCCAGTGTAGTCATGAGACAATTTTATTTGTACAGAAGTGTAAATTCCATATGAAAGTGATCAGAGCTATGTATTTTTTTGAGGGTGGATGAATGAACTATTAAACTCTTGCCATATGTTTTGGGTTCTTGATATTTTGAGAATTATATTAAATAGGGTTATATGAGCATGAAAAATCTGTCTTTTTTTTTGCTGTTCTTTTCACTGTCCATTAAACACTGATTTCAGGGAGTAGTTTCATACTTGTCTTGGTGCACTTTTCAGGAAATAGAACACTTTATTACAAGTGCTAGACATGCATTTCTGTCTAAACAGAAATCTGTCTCTATCTAATCCCTCTTTTGAGGAAGCTGCTCAAGTGTTTTCATCTTCATGTGAAGCCATCTTACTGTGTGTAACTGTTGTATTGCCGGTTGAAGCAGGACCATTATCCCTTCCTTAAGAGACTAGTCTGATTAACAAACGACAGAGTAATTTCTTATTTGGCCCAAGAGACTGAGAGCCTAAAAATCTTAGCTGTCTCATGGTCTCCCTTGAGAAGTGGAAGGTCCAAGTTTGAGGAAATGCAGTCTCTCTGATAAAGAAGGAAAATTAAAAGCTGTCTTTCAAGGTCTTTTGTCTCCAGGGTGGATGCCTGGAATGCTAAATTAAAAAAACCACCACAACCCCCCCCCCAAAAAAAAAAAACAAGCTCTCCTTCTTTTCCTGTTTAGTATTAGTCTAGATGTTTTGTCCAAATCCTTCCAGCTTTCATTAAGCTCTTAAAATGTCTAAAATTGAGATTCAGCATGTCTCCAAATAATGTTTTGTTTGACTCTAGAGGAATGGTTCTTCCAATTTCTGATGTTGGCCCTTGCACCTAAAGATAAATAAATCAGCTGTTCACACAGCTGCATAGACAACTTTGCTCAGAGATGTGACAGGGCCGTGTGCTGACCCCTGAGTTCACTGGGACAGAGGCTTATCAGTGAATGCTAGTACATGACATAGTTCATTCCAGGAGACACAACTGTTCTAAATAAAGAACTGGGAAATCTTTTGCAGATGGTGTGCATAAAATCACCTAAGAAGCAGCCCCACTGCTTCTGATTAATGTGTTGTGGCTGCCAGCCAGGTCAGTGTGAGATAGAGATGAGATGTGAGGTTGGGTTTTCTCGTGGCTTATTAAAATTAATTCTGTTCCAATTCTTAGAGACTGTTACCATCTCTTACAGTGTCCAGTGTATTATCCTCCTTGTCTGATTCAAATTACATTCTTCTTTGCAGGGTTCTGGTTTATGAAGGGAAACAAGTCATGGTGGATTCTGGACCGATCTATGATACAGCTTTTGCTGGTGGACGATTAGGTCTTTTTGTCTTCTCTCAAGAAATGGTCTATTTCTCTGACCTCAAATATGAATGCAGAGGTTAGTTACAGAAAATGCCTCAAAAATGCTRAAGCCTTTGATAACTTGTGGAGCAAGCACAAAGTGTCTGAAACGAAAGTRTCCTCCAGTTACTGAAAGTAATCTGTAATATCGTAGCATGGCATAAACCTTGGTTTGTTGAAATGCCGTGAATGCCCTGTGCTCCTATAGTACTCTCAATTTGARTAATAAAACCCAGATGTTTAATACTATCCACCTGGAAAAAATTAGGTAGAAATTTCTGAGAGAGACTTGCTTGGAATTCTCTCTGTATATCCACTGTACTTTGTMGGCTATTTCAGTATGTCCTGCTAGCAGAGAGATACTTCTGGAGCACCCCTCTTTCAAGAGGCATAGAAAAGAGAGCAGATACCTTTAATGAGCGAGTCTGTCTGTTATACCTTGTCTGAGATGCTTTGAATACAGAAAATGCTTTTCCAGGTTATCTTCTGTATGATTTTGTACATACATTTAGTACATAGCTACACATACACATGCTTGTCTCTTTCTATATGTAGGCATATGTGTTTTTATATAAATGTCCTCACATTTGTAAGAAAATTAAGAACAGCTGCCTCTATTTAGACTACCATGATGGAGTTCTGTTCTTGTGTGATTGACTTCCTAACCAATAATACAATTAACTTATAATTTTTTTCCATTTCTTTCAGATGCTTGAGCAATGGTTGCTGCATTACCACCAAAGTACTGTAGATGCTATGCAACCCAGACACCTCCGTACACCCTGGTACTCGCAGTTTCTATTTTTTTGTCCTCCTGCCCTCTGTCCTCGTGCTCCACTCTCCAGGATCCTCCCACCTGCCAGGAGTGCTTCAGCCATCCCCCCAAGTGCCTTCTCACAGCCAGGACTAATGAAACCTAAACGTGAACATCAGACCCGCCACTGAAGCAAAAGTAGATTGATATATTAGAACACTTTTGTTGAGTGAAAACAGCAAAACTTGTTTGTTTATTTGCTTGTCTTTTTTAAAGAATAACGTTTACATATAAAAATGTAATTACTTAATGTATTTATATATATGGAAAAAAGGAGCGGGGATGATGATTATCAGTTGTGTTTAAGTGAAGAAAAATGTGTTTTAAATTTTTGGGTGTATGGTTGACACTTCCTTGCTCTGATCAAGACTGGCCTTTAGTAATAGAAATGTTCTGGGTCTAATTTTAGCAAAGTAATGGAGGACCACACTGACAAGGAAAATTACTTTGGATATTACAGTAAAGATCTATTATAAACATTTCTTGATTCAAAAAGGTGCTTAGTTTATAAGGCTGCTCTTACTAACAGTCTTTAAAATTACAGTAGGTAGAATTGTCGAATTTGCAACCTAAACTGTTCTCTAATAGGGGCTGTTTTCAGGCCAAACAGAACTGAACTAKAAACTCTCATGTGAAAGGGAAGAGTAATTAATTTAAACATCTGAAGCTATCACTTTTGTCTGACTTTCAAAAAAATTATTTCCAGTTGCCCTGTTTTCATCATATTCTGCACTGCCTTGTAATAAAAAATATACCATGACCATGTGGAGCGAAATGAACCTGAACCACTTTTCCACCTCTCCTGCAAGAAGCACTTTGACATCCTGAATCCTGATGTGGGTTTTTGAAAAGGTGGCAATGCCACTATTACTTAATTTGGTAACATATGAATTTAAGGTTCCATTTATAAATAGTTTGTTAGCATTTATTTTAATTATCACACCAAGCTACCTTCTCTGATAATTGATTTTAAAGCATATAATGCTTTCAGCAATACATTCACAAATAATGATATGTTAAAGCTATTTTTGAAAGCATATCACAGTATGTAGACATTGTCAAAGCATGGCATACTCTTAAGTATAGTTTCATGGATTATAGTCGTATGTACTTTAAAGTTAAATGAATAATAATAAGGAATTTACAAATGGAACCTTAATATATATCCAGTTACCCTTATTTTAATATTTTTATATTGTTACCGTGTCTGCTGTATATAGAACTTCTTAAATAATGCTGAAGGGGTACCAGTGTTTATTCTAAACAGATGCAACAGTTACTCAGATATACAATAGTACAGACRTGTTTAACACTTTTGTTTAAGTTGTATGAGCTTTGTTCACAAAAAGAACACATGCTGGTGTAATTTTATTCAAAGATGGGATACCTAATGGAAGAATACAGTACCTCTGCCTTCTTTTAGGGCACAGCGAGCTAAATATTGAATCAACTTTTTCTCCCAAAAATAGATTTTGTTTCTCTATCATTAGAAAGGAATCAACAATTGCTGACTTTATTGCACATTTTACAATATTCATATTATCATATCTTCTTTTGATTTTATTTCAGTTTGGGTTGTTTCGGGTTTGTTTTTTTTTTCCCAAATCATCTTCATGAGGTTTTTAAATCTTTCAGTTTCTTTTGGTATTTCAAATGGCATCCCCAAGTTCCAAGCAGAAGGGAGGATGACTTAATTAAATGTAGTGAATAATGGCTGTGTAGGGTTTTTTTTTTTTTTTTGTCAGAGAGAGACATCAGTTTAGGGATGGAGATGTTAATATTTGGAGTGTATCATAATTTTCCTAATCTATGTAAATTATTTATGATGGGGGTTTTTATTTCTTTTTCTTTTTTTCCTTGCAAGTATGTGTGAGAGAGTGAGATTGATGAAATTTCATTTTGTTTTGCCAAAGATTGTAAATAATTATTTATTTGTTTACATGGACGGAACTTTATAAATTGACGTCCTGATTCATTTAGTCAGATCCTCATTTTTAAATATATTTTTAAGAAGTTAATAATAGGAAATAAACTGTAAAAAAGTTTTATAACCCAAAATCTCTTTACCTTTTTTATAGTTAATTTTTTTCTTTAAAGAAAATATTCCATTCCTCAAAGCCCTTAGTTAAGCCTCTTGCCTTGCTTCATTTCAAGCAAACCAGGAAATCTGTTGSTTTGCTAAAAAGTCATTGTCTTCTAAGGTTGTAAACAGCAGGTTTCCCAGTATCTTTGATGAGACATCATTCCCCATGAAGTCTTTATTTGGCAAATTATCACAAATTTTATTTATAGAGTTGTGACTGAGAAATTTTAGTCCTGCTTCTCTGTGCTGTGTCTTGGCCCATGTGTTTGAACAAATATATCTTACTTTGCAACTGCTGCTTCTCTGAGTCCCATCTGAGTCTTTGGGATTCCTTGGTGTGAGTGGGGATTGCCTTCCTGCTGGAGAATTTCAGGAACCAGTGAATCATCATGAACCCAAGAGAATAAAATACAAGAAATACAAGAAAATAATTCTTAACATGAGACGTCTTTCCTATGAGTATAAASTACTTACAGGGAGGAGAATTTGAATTGGATTAGGAAAAATAATGTCAAAATGCCCAGCATATCAAAATGCCAATTTTGAGGTATGAACACAAGTTCCAACTTTTCTTGGCCTTACAGATATCGCATCTACTTTGTTTCCTTGACTTTTGATTCCCATKAGAGTACTTGAAGCTTTACACAGGAAAGCCATGTAGACTTCGGTACATTTTTGAGGAGTCCTTTAACACAACACAAATGTTCAGTCTTGTAAAAGCTGCAAGGACATCAATGATTGACATTAATCAGGTAAGAGAGTGATCAAGAACTTGTTCCTCACTTTCTTATGAGTTTTGTAATAGTCTGGTATGGATCTTTATGAGAGTTTTGATTCTGAGGGGAAAAATCTCTTTATAGCACCAAACAACCCCCCACGCAAAAGTAAACATAGGCAAATAAAATGACTGGAAATGTGTGAAAACATAACAGTAGCACTTTAGCCATAGTACAGGGTCTGTCAGAAAAACAAGGAGGGAAGGATGAAAAAAAGCAAATCTGCTGTGAATGAGCAGGTTCACCTTAAGCTGTGAACCTGTCTCCATTGATCTAACTCCCTTTTCTGAGGCTTTTGAAGATACTCAAAAGTATTTGCATAATCTGGAAAAATACATATTTAAAAACTGTACAGAGTATAAATTTCTGGTTCCCAAAGAGAGATGGGTATGGAAGAAGGTAGTCTTAAATATCAGCAGAGAGGTTGTTTTTTCTCACAAGGAGAAGCTGAGCAGAGCAAGTGAGGGTTCTGCCACTGTGATATGAGTAATACTAGGCAGAACTTTTTTCACTTTGCTGAATATCAGACTCCCACCTACTAAAATTCACTGATAATTTCCTCACATTTAAAATAGTTGTTATATGTTCTATGTATCTTACTGGTTGTGGGCCAGCCAAAAAATGGGAAATCCTGAAATCCTCCTAAAATTAAGTTCTGATGAGACTTCTTGACTGCTTTTAAAATATGGGGGGTTTGGGTCAACTTCAGGTAAGCCACTGAATTTTCTGAGAAGCTGAACTCACAGCATTTAAGGATTTGTCCATTATAATGAGAAACATGTTTGCCATGGTTTCTTCCAGAAAAAGGAATCTACCCAAGGATTATACCTGTGATTTTGCACATCAGGCAGCCCAAATAATAACATCATGAATGCTAATATCTGTGTCTACTCCTTGCTAACTACACAGTGGGGCAGGAGCTGAACAGACTATCACAGTCAGTGGGCCAAACCCTCATCTTGGTCAGCTCAGTGGGAGTTTTGCTAAGGACTTGAGTGATAGCTGGATGAGATTCAGGGTTCAGTTTGTGCTGCAGACATACATGGAGGAAGAATGCTAATGCTCGCCTGGAAACATCTGCTCTCTAAAGCCATTTGAAATTAAAAAAAAAAAAAATGTAACTGTGTAATAACTTGGCACAGCATTGTTTCCAATGTGGAGAAGACCACCCTTGCAGATGGGGAAGGGGGACTTTGAAGGAAAAGAAACCTGATGCTGATTAAATCAAAGGCTTTTCTAGTCCATTATGCTGCCTCTTGGAAGTTATCAGTAGCAAATTCACCAGAGAAAGGTGTCAAATATTTACCATTAAAAATCTTGGCATTAGCACTCCTAGTAGGGAAATATCATTCTTAGCCCCAGGCAGTTAATGGGCGAGTTCTGCCTTTGTGCCTGTGTGGTTTATTTTGCACTAACATAACTGCAAATATTATTCATACAAATATCCTAGATTTTTAATCCCACCTCTCCTATTGAGAGCTCTGGAGATTGATTATATACTCTATGCAGTATAAATTTCCTTTTACCAATTTCAGGTCTGTTGCTGTTTAATTTCATTGACAGGCTTGATTTCTTGCAGACTTTGGAAAGGAATGTATAGTATGTATTTCATCATAAAACTGTGTGTTAGGAAAATAATATCCTACTTTGTTTTTACGGCTTGTGTGTGCATGTGTCTGTAGTGGGTTCATGTGGTACATCAAATGTACAAGGATTTCCTCTGCTTGAAAAGATCAGCTGTGATGTTGTTGCTATTTTGGTTTAGGTACAGGATGCTCACCATGTTATGGACTTCTCCAATTCTGTCGTTCTAGCTCTTGTGCAGATATGTCATAAATGCACACACACACACACACACAGAGAAAAATGTACATATTTTGCAAAGGTTAGGTATTATTCTGTGCTTGTTTTCTTCTTAATGCCTTCCCCAGCCAGCTGCTACTTGGCCACAGTTGGAATCAGGCAAATGAGTTGGACAGATCTTTTAAAACCTTTTCTTCTGTCAATTATCATTGATCATTACCTGTCCTTCTTGATATATTTACAGCTAGAGTTATTTGGTGTCCTCCTTTAGAAGCAAGTGAATTTCTTTTCAGACACCTGCTGACATTTCTGAACTCTTTGCGCCACTGCCAAATGCACCAGTTTCTGAAAGCTGAGGGGTTGTATTACAAATCACACTTCAAACTTAGCAACAGCTGTAATATGATAACTTATTAACTTAGCTGTAATTAAGGTAACTTAGAAAGTAATTTCAGTCATTTAGGTTACATAGTCATTCAGAATCTTCTAGCAGATATAGTCTTGACCCTCTTTGTGAGCTGATTTTCTCTCTTTAAATAAYGCTGATGGAAAAGAAAACAAGGGAGAGGATGGCAAGCTGCAGGCACTGTCAGCAGCTGCAATGGATAATTTTTAATCAATGCTTTTTGTTTGTATATGTGAAGAAAATGAAACCTAATGCTTTCAGTTCCATGCAAGGCAAGTTTCTTTCAGACAGTCTTTGTCTGATCATTCAATTCAGTTTATTTCCTGGATCTTCTGCTGCTGCCTTCTTGCAAGTAGCAACAACCTCCAATAGAAAGACATTGTTTAGGCTCTCCTTGCTGATGAGACTGGAGAACTTTTGAGTTTAGAGTACTTTAGGGCTGGAGCCCAGGCAAATTAATATGTTCTGGTTTTTAAAGATTCAGCTGCAGTGTCTAGGTTTTTGAAGCCAGAAGCAAAGGGCCACCCATTTGGATGTGGATGTAATCCAGTGGGTTTAACTATATGCAGTAGCTCAGCCTGGATGCTGAAGACATAGGGACAGTGTCTCGAGCTGAAGCTAGTGGCAATTGGCAAGTCAATTTCTTTCTCAAATGGGATTGAGTTCCAAAGATATTATCAATCACCATTCTACAGATGAGCAGTCCTCTGTTTAAAAAGCTCCAAYGTTTAAAAAGGACCAGGAAGAAAACCAGAACACTCTTAAATGCTCAGGTTGAGATTTGCACAATTTAATGATAAATGGAGCATACACAGGCAGTATAATGACAAGGGACCACATTATTTTTTAACTTTTTTTCTTCACAGAAATTTTCCTTTTAAAGTAATTAAAAAAAAATTAAAGTTGCTTTGTTTTCAGATTTGTCATTAATATGTCAATGTAAAGCTCCCATTTATTTGAGAAGGAAGCACACTCAATTGCTGGATAATCAAGAAACCTATTGTTCTTCATGCCTAGCATCTGCCCTCCCAGTGGTGTGAGGAGAT